AATTCCGTGTTGATCAAAAATTTTTTATTAGTGAGTGACACTTGACCCCCTGTAGATCCGCAATGTCCTGCGACTGTGATTGAGATTGCAAGGAAAACAAAAGGACTTCCAATCCTTTCAGAAAATGATATCAAAATATAGAAAAGATTGCACTTACACATGACACCCAGAGATCTAGAAATTTACAAAATATTTGTGGAAGGAATGCTGCCAGAGAAAACAAAATTATTGAACAGAAGCAACAGTTAGAAGCCTTTGACTATGATCATGACCTAATACTAAGGCTCTGAATGAATCAAATTGAATTGAATCAAATCGGATTCCTAAAATTTTTTTAATGTCATATTAAATTTATATTACACAGTGAATCTCAATTAGTGTGCCTCAATTTAATGAATACTAATGGATTGAGGTCTAAGAATGGTTTAATGATAATAAAATTCTTCTTGATATGATATTTATTTGAATTTTTCATTTTTTCATAATAACAGGCATCTTGATATTAATATTAATGGTAGTGTGACCTATATTATTAATGATAACAAGTAAAAAAGTAACATGATTTACAGTTGTACAATTCATTAAATCTAAAATAATAAGCATTAATATTACTAATGAATGATAACAATTTCATGGTTGAAAATGATGCTTCTTCAACTTCTTCAATTTCTTCAACATGCACAGCACAATCTATTCAAAAAAGAACAAGAAGCATTGTGTGGAATCATTTTACAACCATAGATGGAAAGGCAAGATGCAATTATTGCTCCAGGTAAAAATTTTTTTTTGAATTTTACAGATTTCATTTTAAAAGATTCACAAATAAATAAAATTATTAAAAAAAATATTTATACTATATAAATAAATATAAAATAAAAAATATTTTTGTAAATAAAATTATAAAATATACATTAAAATAAAGATTTTTCATTTATTATATATAGTGTATTTGATTCAAATCATGGATTCAAATCGGTTATTATTATAGATTCAAATCAGTCAGCTTGAATCAAATCAAATTCAGGGTTTTGGGACACTAAATAAATGTATTGCTTGCTTTAGTTTTCCAAAATATTCTTCAAAAGGATTATGCAAAACTTGTACTTTTTATTTTGAAAATAAGATGATCCACAATTTACCTTTTAAAATCAAATATATCAGATCAATTAACAAGTGATAAACAGATTCAGACAATTGACCAGGTGAATTTAATCCAATCTGCACTATCCATAATCTATCAGTATCCAAAATTTAGAGAACTTCAAGAGGAAGGCATAAAATCATTTGTTGCTAATAATGACACATTGATTTTATTACCTACTGGTGGTGGCAAAACATTGTGTTATCTATTTCTGCATTAATTGGAAAAGATTTAACTGTGGTATTTCTCCATCAAAAGCTTTAATTGATGATCAATTGGTAAATAAATATTACTATTATGCATTTTATTAAAAATAAAAAAATAAAATATTAATGATTTCTTATCTCATTAGGCTGAGGCATTCTTGCTGGTATTCCAAGTGCTGGGATATATGCTACAACAGGACAGTCATCAGGATATCAATCTAAAGTATTTGAAGATAAAATACTGCTGAAAGATTCAACCTGAATCCAAGCTTTAGGGCAATGTTAAAAAAAATTTATAACCAACAAGGTCTTCACTTTGTAATAGATGAGGCATAGTAGCATATGGAAATTTCAGGTAATATAAATTTAATAAATTTATATTAAATAAAAATTAAATGAAAAATCTGACATATATTTACTGTAGAAAATCATGGAAAAACCTTGGTCAATTGAAACAACATTTTCCAAATGCACCAACAATGTTGCTCTCGGCAACATGTTCTGCTCGAGATGTTAATCGAATTTGTGAATCGCTTCAAATATATATGTAATGATAAAAAACCCTACCACCCATATTCAGCTTTCTCTATTAATTTATCAATTTTCTTCATATACATGATCTAATAAAGTTTTTTCTTCCAGATAATTTAAATGGAGAACAAGCTTTTGTCTATAAATTTTTAATTGATGTTAATTGTGATAAAAAAAAAGCTCATTTATAAATTGATTTTGCAAATAAGATTCCTAACTCATCTTGTTCTTTATCAACAAAATAGTTTAACGATTTTTCTTTTTACAATTACAATTACAAATATTATTATCATTATTCATTAAAAACACTTGCAGTATTGTATTGCAGAAATTCTATTTGTTGAGTTTCTGTCCTTTTTAGGTATTGATATTTTTACACATTCACCAACATTATATTCCTTTTTTCTTTTGTTATCTGTTTTTTCATATTATTAGTGCAAACAAATTTTTTGCAAACACCCTGGAGTAATTGGCTTGGATGTATCAAACATTTTTTACTTGGCTCCTGGAAAATATCACCATTTTTTTGCAGCCTTATGCATTAAATCCCAAATTCCATCAAGAGCTTGGGAAAGATCTGAAGAATTTTGAATATTCCGAGTTTCAGTTGAAGAATCAACACAATCAACAAAAGAACATGAGCAAAGCTTGGTACTGCAGTTAAAGACACCTGTCATAATTGGTTATTTGCGGGCAATGGTAACTACCGTTATAAAACATTTAAGGCTGCTGCAAATATTTACGGCTGCCGCAAATAATTACAGCCGCAAATAAATACGATTGCCGTAAATAGATACAGCTGCTGCAAATAGATGCGGTTGCCGCAAACAGATACGGCTGCCACAAATAGCTACAGCTGCTGTAAATAGATACGGCTGCCGCATGTAGTTATGATTGCTGCAAATGATTGCAAATTTTGAAAACAATTTGCGGCAAATGGTAGCTACCGATAGCTATTTACAGCAATGGATAAAAAAAACAGTCTGTTATTTGAACTTTGATTCCAGAAATACCTGAAAATTTCCATGAATTTGCAACAGTGACAAAGTCCATCTTTCCCCGTAATCTTTCCATGAATATGATACATTTCTGGAGAAAACATGGAATTTTAAATCACAGATCAGTTTTTTACAGGGCGACATCTACCGGTCCAATCATTTACGGCAAGTGTCTTTAGCTGCGATAATGATGAGTTGATTTGAATATATTATGTAATATAAGTGTCAATTTGGGGTTAATATAATAAACTTATGCAACTTTGAGACATATCATTGATAACATAGAATTGTAGAGAAAGGTCTTGGCTTTAATTCTACCCTGTAAAAAAAACTGATCTGTGATTTAAAATTCCATGTTTTCTCCAAAAATGTATCATATTTATTGGAAAAATCATGGAAAGATTACAGGGAAAGATGAACTTTGTCACTGTTGCAAATTCGTGGAATTGAAGTTCAAATAACGGACTGTTTTTTTTTATAGGGCTACCATTTCTGGTACTAAAGAATCTATATATATACAAGTGACTAAGTAACTTGCAATGATCTATTGGTGTAACGTTTTAATATTTAGTATTTTATTAATGGACCAGACCAAAACTTGTTGGTTTTGATGGACATGGTCTATTGTAAGGTTGCTTGCCGAAACCTCTTAATGACTGCCGAAACTCTGATAAACAATTAGTGTGTACCTTGCCGAAACTCTGCCAATTGCCGAAACCCCCAAATGCGAATCAATTAGGGTGTAACCTGCCGATTGATGCACCATAGTCTATTGCCAATCATGGCTCAAGCTACCTACTTATAAAAGAATTTAAAGTATGGAAGGAAGTATTTAATATATAAGTTTGAAATTTATCATACATTCAGAAAATGGTCCGTGTTCGGGAAAATTATAAAGGTGAACTTACTCCCTGGAAGAAGTATCTAGAAAATATATACCCTTTGATTAATCCACAAAATTTTGCTAATGGTTGTATCCGCCGAATGATATTCACCGATTACTCACCGATTATCCGGGTGTTGAGCTTTATTGATTGACCAAGTACTCAAACACCCTGCATAATTGTAATGTAAAAATAATTTTTAATGTTTCCGGCATGTATGTATATTTTATTTAATTTATTATGAAAAAACAAAACAGATAGAAAATAGAAAAAAAAACCCTGGTTCAAATCAAATGAGAATAAGTATAAAGAAAAATATCTTATTTAACTTCTATTCTATAAATAAAAAAACCATTAATTAATTTAATAAATATTCTTATTATTCTTATGATTTATTTATTATTGTTGCTGTGCTTGATATTTAAGACGTGATTGTTCAAATAAGAGTTCTTGTTGTTTCAACAATTCTTCTTCAGTCATACCAGAATTTTCTAATCTGGAACTTTTCTTATCTCGGTCCTATTTCAATTATTATAATAAATAATGAGGTGTGTGCTTTAAAAAATTTCAATTCGGGATATAATCTTTTTTACCTTTTGAATTTTCTTATGTTCTTTAAACACTTCTTGTACCTCACTAAGATACTCTTCAAACCCCAAACTCTAAATATATTTATAATATGAATATTATAATTAACTTTTTGAGTATTCCATTTATAACATGTAATAACGTACTTGAAGCGCTGAAATCACATGTTCAGCTGCAATTGTTTTCTTTTCTTCTTTCTCACAAATATCATTTGCTTCAGAAGCAATCAGACGAATAAATTCTAAAAAAAAATATTAAAATTTTTAAGATATTGAATGAAATATTGTAATATGTAAAAGTAGATTGCATGCATTCAATTTACCAACGCAACAATCTATTAATAAATCACGACTATCTTTAGGACATGCAATGTTAGGTGGAAGCATTTCTGTAATAAGCTTTGTGACTGTTGCTGGATAAGTCAAAAGAAACAATTATTATTTTGTCAATATTAAAAAAAAAATTTTTTAAATTTAAATAAAATACCTTTGGGAAGTGATAAATCATCGTCTGCACCTCCAGTACCAAATGTTTCTTTATCACTCATTGTAAAATATTAGGATTATTATGGTAGTATATAAACGGTATGTTTTTTTTTGTTAGCATTGTGGAGAAACTTGAGCTTGCCTTTATATAATGAATAATCTGTTTATTACATGCCCCAATAAAAAATTCTAACAGGTATTGTGAGGTGGTACAATACGTTACACGATTACAGAATTAATTGATCAAATGATATGAAAACTCAAAATCGGGTTCAAATCTTTTAACCACATCCAAGTATATAACATTCACCTGAAATGATGTCTTGTAACTAATTACCTTTACAATAAAATTTGTTGTGTATATATATATATATATATATATATTAGCATCGATTATCCCGATTGATCATCAGTAAACAGACAAATCGTGTGATTAGTGAAAAGGCAGCCACGTGATTTTACATTTTTAACATTTTATTTATTTATTTATCAAATAAAAGCTGGGGTCAATATATGTCAAGAATATCGAGAAAATTATCAACGATCAGAAATAATATTGCTCCTAATACTTAATTTTTCCATTATTTGTGTATGTTGCAATATATACAGTATATATATATTTTATGTAAATTAATTAATAATTTATTTTAACAATTTGATTATGGAATAAATAAATATGGTTCTGACAATTATTAATTGCCATATATGTAAGTATACACATAATATCATTATTTAATTAACTAACACATCATTCCAATAAAATATTTTAGAGCTACTGTTGTGGATTTACTGATACGTGGTTATCGGTACTATCATATTTAGGATTAAAAAATTTGAATCTTGGTAATGATGGTAAAAAAATTTTTGAATATAACAACAAATAACAACTACAAATAATATAAATGATAACGATATGATAAATAGGATAATGTATTTTTTTCTAGTAATTTATTTATATAGAGTGGATTTACAACAACAATAATATTTCATAAAATCAAAATTTATTTATATATTTATGGTTAGAAAGAAACATTTAATTTTAACAATTAAAATTATTATTATAATGAATGATTAAACCTCACTTTCACAAAACCTAACCGCCCTTCCTAATTCCTACCACTAAATATTTCTTCTTTACCTTCAAGTCCTAGAAATTTTAATGCATTTCCACTTAACAACTTTTCTTTATCTTCATCAGTTAACCATTCACAATTTTCAATTAATTTACCAGGATGATGTTCTCCAAGTGGAAAAGGGTAATCACTACCAAGCATTATTTTATTTATCCCTATCTTTTTAATTAGAAATTTAAGTGTATCTTCATCATGAACAAGTGAATCTACTTGAATACGACCAAGGTATTCACTAAAATACGAATGGAAATAAATTTTTTGATTTTTGATTCATCAAAATTAATAGAAAAATAATAATACTAATACATACAGTGGACTTTTTTTTATTTTTGTGGCACATAAATCTGGTCTAACATTAAAACCATGAACTATACGTCCTATTGTTGCAGGAAAAGAACCACCACCATGTGCAAATGAAAATTTAAGGTTTGGATATCGTTCAAGAACACCACCAAAAATCAATGAACAAATTGATATGGTTGTTTCACAAGGCTATTATAAATTTTTTTTGTTGTAGGATAATTAATTGTAAAATTTTTAAAAAAATAGAAAAATTTACATATTGTAATAATAACCTACCATTCCAATGAGCCTAATAATTATATAATTGTATCTGTTGATTAATTATTGATTGATTTAATAATTTTAAAAGCATATATATACACATACCAAGGAAACCAATATTTTTCCATTCTTCCTTTAGTTTCCATATCCTAAATATAATAATGTATATATAAATCAATAAAGTTTGTGTCTATAAAAAATAATAACTATGAAATTGATTCTTTTTCTTTTTTCCTAAATAACTCGTTCCATTCATTCTCTTAATTATTTACCCATGGATGAACAAAAATTGCAGCCTCAAGTTCTTCACAAGATTCCCATATAGGTTCCAATTCGGGGGCATCTAGATTCCAATCATTAATATGAGTACCGATTTGTATACCAACCAACCCAAGTTCATTTATACATCTTCTTAATTCTTGTGCGGCCAATTCAGGTGATTGCCTTGGAAGTGTACCAAGTCCGACAAATGATCATTTAGATATCTTGCTAAATCAAGGGTATGTTGTGGTTTAGCTGAATATGAAAACATTACAGGAACTGTAGAAAGAACCTAAAAATGATGTATATATTAAAAATGATTTCCCAAGAAAAACCTCCCTTTTTTGGAATTTGTTCATACCTGTACATCAACTCCAGTTTTATTACAATCACGTACTCTTTCATCAGCAGACCAACAATTACACTTAACTTCACGGAAATTTTTTCCATCAAGAAGCATTCTGGCTTTTCCCTAATACGCATAAACCAATTAATTGATTTTAATCGAAATATTAACAACAACAATAATAATACTTGCTTGTTCATAATGATCCAATTGCATCCATCCACCATAACCGTATTTTTTCTTTAGGTCTGGCCAATGTTTAGGAAGTATATGACTTTTATATAAAATATTGGGAGTTGCTAAATGTTAATAATCAATGTTTTAGAACAGTGTAATTTTTTAAAGGAAATAACTTACGTGTGAATATCAATTTTAAGAAATTTATTTTTTGAAACAACTTTATCATTATCACAATTATTGTTAACGTTTTTTTGTAACGAGCTTGGAGTTGCCATTGCATTGAAAAAATTACAATTATTCATTCTTTTTATTATTTTTTTTTATAATTATTTTTGAATTTTAAAATAAAGTTTGCAACTTAATTCGTGATTTTTGATTGTGATCGTTGGGGTGCATTTACAAGGTTTTATAGTAATAGTAAATAGTATCAATCAATATTCGAATAAACGAAAGATTCAAATAACACGATAAAACTAATGAAATTAATACTAAAGCTAATATTAATAATTCGAATAAATCCAATAATTCGAAATAATAAATAATAATAATATATTTAATATTAATATGCACATTGTTAATCCATTTAAATATTTTTTCTTTAATGTAGTTGTTGTGCGTGGAAAAGTGAATTTGCAATTTGCAATTCACATGTGTGAAATTCAAATTAGCCAATCAGAATTTCATATCCAAACACCCCCAAATTTTTAATTATAGATAGAAATATAAATATAATTATTGTAATCTATAGAATCTTATTTAATAGTTAATATCTCGCCTTTAATGGTTCAAATTATTTATTTTATTCGTTATTATTATGATTTGAGTATTCGAATTACATTGAAAGT